AAAAAAAAAAAAAAAAAAAAAAAAAAAAAAAAAAAGGGAAGAAAAGAAACATACTTTTATCACAGTTGGAAATGTATTGTATCTTATTAGAGAAAACATGATCTCAAACAGCATATATGAAGAAAAGTTGCGTTAACCAACAACAGAAACTCATTTTGTAATCTGCCCCCAACTCCAATCTTAACAGGATTCTCTAAATGTTTAGACATAAGGTAAATGGAATTAGATGGAAAGAAAGCAAGGTTTAAATATCACTGGGGGGAAGTTAGAGAGTTAAAAAAGTGAGGGCTGAGAGATTCCAATGACTAGCAGACAAAGACATGCTTGGAGGATGAAGCTTTGATTAGAAAACATAATCTTAGGTGGTATATAGATATTTTTTGGATAAAAACTGATTCACATAATGAGATAACTATTCCCTTTCAAGTCTTTTTTTATCACTCAGTTATGATCACAGAAGAAGTCTCAGTGTGGTGAAAGTATGTCTTTAAGACCTCTGGACACTTTCCTGAAGTTAAAATTCAACAACAGTGTTTTGATTTTATTCTTTCTTTTCACAAATACCCTTCTCAGGGCAAGTGACTCTAGTTTCCCACTTACGTATTTTTTCTAAAAAAAAGTACTTAATTTTAATTTTTTTAATGAGCCATTTTTAATGAAAATGTTAAGTAATACAAGAGGTACAGGGACATAGTAAAAACTGTAAACGTGAAACATGAATGACCAAAGTTTAGAAAGCAGTATGGCTTGAAAACCAAGTTCTTCTCAGCCTGGAGTAGGGAAGCTACACAGTTGCGTGGCTGTGATTGCTGTTGATTTTTAATTTCCGTCCCACCACACAAGCAAAGAATACAAATGAGGGAGATTTTTTTTTAGGAAGCTGCCGTTTCATTCTCACTGCCAGTGGTATTTAACAAGAATTTTGCTAGTTTCCTAGAGTTGATTCTTTGGGTGACTAAGACTCCTTAGAACCAAGAACGCAGGCACAAATTCTGAAGGCCTAATTAAAAGTATGATTCTTGCCCCTGTGCGTAACACTAACCCTTTTGTTAGCATCCCATGAGAAGAAACACCTCAACTCAAATCACATTTTCCTACCTTCTCCCTTGCCAGTTCCACCACTTTTTCATTAGCTAATCCCAATTAAAACACTTTGTTACTGAAGCCATAAACCTCTGCCGCTCTCAATAAGCATAAATTATACAGCAAATAACTCTATTCTATGTCCATCCAGAAAAATAACACCTCCCCTCATCCTGATTTTTTGCAGTCTTTGGGACTTGGAGCTTCTAAGTCAACTCTCATGCTTTTTAATTTCGGTCCCTTGCCCCCTCTAACTACTTACCTATAAAGCTACACTTTTTGGGGGGAAGAAAATTACCACCAATGCCCTTCTCTAAACTTAATCATCAACTGTGCTCTTTCCTCCTGTTTGTGAACAATGTGAGCAGTAGGAAAGGCTTGGTCATTATATTTACAACTAAGTCTGCCATTTATCAATGGAATGACTTGGAAGGGCCATCCTGGCTCACACTTGGTCCTGAATTGTAAATGGAGGAGATTGACCTCACAGGATTTTGCTTCAAAATTAATTAAGACACACGTAGACTATGTTTAGTACAGTGCCTGGCACAAAAAGTGGGCTCATACTGCATAAACCAACGCAGTGATTTTGTTTGTTTCCCTCATGGTCAGCAATTGCTTAACCCAACATTTCCGGCGTTAAACTAACAAAAAGAAACATACTTTATCCTGTGATTGATTTCCAAGCTCATTTATGATTTCCAAGCTCATTTATGATTTTCAAGCTCATTTATTCCTCATTTCTCTGTGGTTTAATTTAATTAAATTGAGCAGCATATCAAATATTGATTTTAATAAAATCTTGATTAAGATTTGAGCAATTATCAAACACACTTTTTCATACCATTCTTGCACTTCAATGGAACCAACCTCAAAAACCAATTTGCTTTTAAAATAAAGTGATTTTATATGTATTCTTCAGGCCATGTTCAAAAATAAAGAAAAGATGGCCCCTCTTTCTTTTTACTAGCCAAGATAGGCAGCAATGTCTGACTAGGGTTTTAAAAAACTTAATCCAGTTATTATCTCATCTTCAATGAATAGTAGAAAGAGAAACTCAGAAAAGAATTAAGTCCTTTGATAAACATTAATTTGGCTCCTACTGTGTTCGAAGTACCATTTTACCCAATGCAAGCAGAGGTAAGGGAGAGCTAATTATATAGTTACTTTTAATGGTTGTGGAAAAATTTGGCCACATATAAAAGTTTTTGACTCTATTAAATAATAACCAGGGAACTACATTTGTTCCAATCCTTAAAATTATTGTGTTGTGTAATTTATAAATATAGGCTCATTATTAGGAGAATCTAATGTAAATGTGATGGTATAAATTATCAATAGTATTATATTAGCAATTAACCATAAGTATAAGACATTTAATAAGTTAAA